CCTCGGTGAGAATATCTAGTGAAGTGGTTCGAGCCTGGTGAAGAAGAAAGTTGGAAGCTTGCTAGAGACCTTCTGCCTTTTGCCAACAAAGTTGAAGAGTACTTGAAGAAACGATCTCCGAGGACGTAGGTCGAATTGGGCAAGGGAGACTGTCACAAGGGAAGCTTGTTGAAGTGCCTTCACCGTGTCAATGTATGTGTCTTGGGTGGTCTATTGTACTCTTTTGTATGGGGGTTTTGCTAATGGCATTCTTATACATAGTAGTATAATTTTTCAAGCATGTGATGTAATCTTCTGTTACTCCCCCAAAATCTTAAGCTACTCTTGAGATGACGTAGGTAGCTGAGTGGAGCTAAGACGTTTAAGGGTTAAGCACGAGATCCCCGCGACACTAAACTATGTGCTTGTGCTTTCCATCTTTAATGCAATACAAAGTGCATTTTGACTAATTTGTGTGTCATCGTTGTTGCTCTTGTTGCATGTTTCCTTGTTTGTAGGCTTGATCATCCAATCGAACATCGCATGAGGCCTCGTTGACTATCCCCGTGACAGCATGCAATCAACCGCACACCCACTCACACCATGGTACCCTTGTGTGCCTTGTGCAATCAACCAATTGGAGGGGGCTGGGGGAGGCTAGCACTGATACCCTTTGTGGGGATGTGGTGGATGTGGATCCATGGGATATGAAAGGTTGTTGTGATGAGATAGATTTTAATAAGCGGGCTATGTTGAACAAAAGAGGGAAGGACTTGGTCCTTGGCACACGTCGATACAAGGGGAGGGACTTTTGTTGTACACTCATTACTCAGGGCAGGGGAGGAACGAATCGTTATAGGATATGAAATGTGAAAGGAGGGATTAATCGATGTGATAAAGGAATTCATTTCAATGGATCATGGCAGCAAGGTCACTCTGATACTTACAATACCCCATCGCATATTTAAGTTGTCTGCAAAGGATTCTACCCATCGTCCGATAGGAATTGCGCTTCACGGTGGCCCATGTAGCTCGTCCGTCACAAGGGCTTAACCAATGGAACGTGCCTTTGGGGGCCTAGAGGCCCCTACTATGGGTTACGAATCAGGCGGAAAGTGCACACATTGCATGTTTAGCCAAGATTCTGACTTAGAAGCATTCAATCATAATTTGACCCACGATAGCTTCACGCCATTGGCTTTTCAACCAAGCACGATGACCAATTGTGTGAATCAACGGTTTATCTCATACTAGGTTGAATTACTATCATAACACTATCATCATTAGGGTAACATTAACCTATCTCACAACAATCTAAACCTATCTCACATTCCCTATTGGTGGGTGAACAATCCAACACTTGGTGAATCTACTTCGCAATGATAGGAAGAACTGACATTGAAGGATAAAAAAGCAATGTCGCTATAAATGCTTGGCTGCCACAAGCCAATTATCCTTGTGGTAACTTTTCTAACACCTCTAGCTTCAAATTCTAAAGGTCTAAATGACCAATAGGCCACACTTTCATTGTTTGTATTCATACTAGAAATCGGAATCAAACAAGCTTTTACTCTTTTGTTCCACATGAGATTTCTGTTCTTGTTGAGCTCATCTTATGACACTTGTGTTGTCTTTTAACAAATGTGCCGCCCTAGCCAAACTCCCCACCTGACAATGTCTTCCACCCAAATCGGCCCACCGAGGCAAGCCTTGGGTCCAAAAGGAAGGGTGATGCCCCCCACCTTCGACTAACGGAATAAGTAAGTAAAATAACATTAAAAGTAGTAGTATTTCATTTCTGCCCAAGGGCTCCCACTTATCCTATACCTCTCAAGTCATTTCACAAAGTTGGATTAGAGTCAAGCTTATCAGGGTCTTCTTTCCCCGTTATTTTGCCAAGCCCATTCCATTGGTTGTGGTTTCATTGGATAGTAGATAGGGGCGGTGGGAATCTGGTAAATCCATTCATGCACATCACTAATTAGATGACAAGGCATTTGGCTACCTTAAGAAACTCATAATTGTACCAGTTCTAAGTCGAATGTTTGGTGCTCAAGGGCGGCCCCCGAGGGAGCCGTTCCTAGTCCCCCTCCCCGATTAGTACACGACGACCCACTCTCATCGCGAGAGCAACTCGAATAGTCTACCAACATGAGATGGGTTTGGGATGAGACCCTCATGCCCAACTCGAACAGCTTGACCCACTCTCACCACTAACGTGCTTTGCGTACGCCTTCAAGCAACCACTTCCCTAAACCAACAATGCATCAATGACACACAAAATGGCCAAGGAAAGCAGCACTCAAAAGCCCCACTAAGCATGGAAGCAACAATCAATCCAAATTGAATATAGGACAAAACAACCTCCAAAAAGGACTAGAGGTCGCAAGCAATGCAAAAAATGCCACCCATGCTGCACTATGCCAACTCATTTGAGGTCCCCAAGACTGGATTTGAGAGGCTAAAGAACTTGTGAAAGGACAAATTGGTTTAGGCACATGACCATGAATCAAGATATGCATGGGAAGGAACTGGGTATAGGGACTAGGCATTGACAAAAGTCTCACAAGTGCATTGCGTTCAATGAAACAAGTCCAAGTGGATATAAATAAAGTATAAAAATATGACTTAATGCTTTAATAGGAAGCTGTACATAGAAATAAGTGTTAACACAGATATAAATATAACTAGAGAACTTCACTAATAATGATTTAATCAATGTTTTATCTTATAAAGAAATTTAGGCATTGATTGAACCGATTATATTAGATTCTAGTTATGGTGTTTTGTCCCAATTAGTAATTCGGTTGGGACTGTTCTTGTTGTTCGGAATCGATTCAGATTTGAATTGATAATGTAATTAATAATATATAAAAGGCTTCCAAGTTCTTTTGTAATTTTTGCTATACTTTATGTTTAAAAGGGTAATTTTAATAAATAGTATATAAGATCATTTTTCTTAAAAGCAAATGTTTTATTAATATATAAACACTCTACCATATTTACTGTCATTTTTATTAAGGTTATATTATCAAAAATATAGTTATAAATTATTATTATGATAGGTAATTATATATACGAAGTATAATTAGGTCTAATCGGGTCAGACCCCATTGTCCCAATGGTTCTAAACTTCTAACTACTAAGACCCTGTTTGATGATTAAGTACTTGTTGCATAAGTACTTCTTACAAGTATTTACTTTAACAACTACTTAAGGTTGTTTGGTAATACACTTTCCAAATCACTTATTATGTTTTTAAGCACTTATTGGGATGGGGATGTTTGGTAAGCTACTTTCCCCGTAAGGGTTTATATTGACACAAATGACAATTTTAGCTCTCATTTCACTCATACATTATACTGCTTTTCACATGTTATGGTATACATTTTAATTGAGAGTCCACATGGACCCACACGTGAATCACCATGTGGACCCAATAATAATAATAATAATTAGTAATCATAATAATAATAAATAATACTAAAATAACAATTATAAATAATCCTAATAAATAATAAATAATCCTAGTAATAATAAATACTCTGGCCTCCCTCTCCATCTCATACTTCTTCCTTTTCTTCTTGAAACCCCCCCCCCCGAAATCCACTGTTCATCATCTTCCTCATGACATAGAACCAACGGCAGCAATGAATCCATTCCGATCTCCACCTCCAATCTCTCATATCTCTTTTTTCTCCCACACCATCTCTCTTTCTTCTTCTTTTTTTCTTCTTCTTCTCCTTGGTCTTCACTCTTTCCCTTTCCTTGTTCATCATCGTCGTTGCAGCGGCGGGTTGAATCCAGCAATAGTGGTGAGTGGCGGCGTTGAACAGGAACGATGACTAAGGAAGAGAAAACAGATTTGCGATCCCAGAGTTCGATCTTGGTGGCAAGGATGAGGACTGAGGAAGAAAAAAATAGGAACGGTGTGATCTGCAAAATTATTAGGGACTGGTTCAAGTGTAGATCTGCGAAAACCCAGAAAAAATTAACCTCTTGTCACCGGTTAGTTCGTGTGTAGATCTGCGGAAAAAAAAAAAAAAAAACAGACAGTTTTTTGTAATGCCTACAAGCGCACCGGTTAGTTCAAGTGTAGATCTGTGAAATTTACAGTTCTAATTGCATATTTTTCATAGTGAAAACTGAAACAGAAAATTATGAACAAAATTCAATTTTCATTGTTAAATTGTTTTTGGCATTCAGTAATGTTAAAAAACCGATATAAATTAAATACATCTACTAAATCGTTTTGGATATGAATACCAATCAATCTCTTCTATGTCACAAGTCACAACGATTAAGGGATGCATAATTCGATTTCCAGGCGACCTCTTGACAAAAGCCAAAAGACTTGTTTCTAAAAAAACAATAGTAGCTTCAACATGATTACTAGTAAACCGAATCAATTTGTGTTGGATGAAATGAAAAATAAGCCCAAATAATTTGTAAGTTTGAAAAGCTCAACCGTGAACTAACAACCTAACCTAGATTAAATGCCTTGTTGTTACGAAAAAGATTCTCAACTTCGAGGTATTTTGGTCTCAATCAAGAGATTCCCCCCACTGAGTACCAAATCGTACAAGAGATATTCATGGACTAGGAATCAAGTTCATAGCACTCTAGAGTAGAACATGGACGGCTGTTTTTCTGAATTCGGATTCAATCGTCACAAAATCCAAATTCGTCTACACGGTGTATCAACGACCAATGCAACCCAAAATACACATGGAGTGGTGGAAAAGGCACATGCCCGGTGTTCTACATCTACCTGAATCTGAATGGGTACACAGGTCCTGACAGAAGATAACAAATACAAAAGCGCCGAATCGCCGACAGAACTTCTAAGGCCCACCGACATCTTAAGTTCATATTACAGACCAGACTCGTAGAAAATCAACATAAGGTCTAGTCTCTAGAGCGAATGGACAAACAATTAATTACCCTCACTGGCCTGAGAGGAGAGTCAAGTTGGTCAACTAACGACAGAAAAACTGTGAGATTGCTTACCAAACTTCACATTTTGTTCAAGGACAATAGAGTTGAGTTCGCATTCTTGGGTGAACGTGAACATAACCTCTTTCAAGACGGTTTATAAAATGGCAAACAGAGAAAGCAATCTGAGTTGTCAAAATAGATTTTACAATTGAAGGGGCAGAGGGGAAAAAAATAATAGACAAGCATCAAAGTCGTAAAGAGATTTTGCCTCAGAAACAAACGGTGGCCAATGCAAGCAGTGCCCCATAAATATGGTTGAACACCTTACAGAACAAACCCCCCTTTTTCTTTCCAATTTAAAGGTGTTGAGCTAAAAGAGGGTAGCTATCCAATATCGGCTGTTATGGGAAAATGTACAAGAAACCTCACTCCTGGCCCCAAAGTTTCAACCTTAGAGGCTATGCAATATGAGCTTTTAGATAATAATGCTCATATCGGATAATGCTCAGACATTCACTACTCCATCTGAACATAGTTCCGGCAGAACCCACTCGATGCAGATGGCCCAATCACGTATTACTCCAACTGAATATCAACAATCAGGCCAAGTACCTGAACATGTTAGGATTGTCCTTGTCTCTCTCCAGATAATCCCGGGTGATCAGATCTTCAATCCTCTTCTTGATCGCCTTGAAGTCGGGCTGAGCATCAGCATGTCAAGTGTCAACCATCCAAGGTAAATAAGAAAACTAGTAGTGTTCGTGCTAACAAAACAAATTCATGGGATATGGATAATACATACCTTGAACATGCGGCCTAGCTGCTCAACACACTCCATCACCAACTGCTGGTGGCCCAAAACTTTTCGACTCTTCATGATACGCACTATTGAGGCATCAATTGCATATCGCCTGTCCTTATCAACATCTTCAATCACTTTCTTCTTCTCATCCACAGGCGGGAGCGGAATCTGCACTTATACCAGAAATGATCTTACTTTAAAAATCAAATGAATGAAAAAGAGCAACAAGGAAGATGAACATGAAATTGCAAATGTCCAATAATACTGAAACTAGCCCAGACCTTTATCCTCCTCATCTTGTCAGTAAACTTGGAATTAAATTCAAAATAATCAGTGTTAGAGATAGTTTTGGTGTTTGGCTCCTTGTTAAGAATCTTGTACTTTGCGCATGACAGGGAATGGAGTAATCTCACTACATCGTCATCAGTCAAGTTTAACTGTGTCATGATTTCTGAATAACTCAATCTATCCGAAGCATTGAATAGCAGCAGGGCAGAGGCCTGTAAACAAGGAAAACTGGCATGTCAAGTCACTATACTAACAATGAAGCTGTTCATACAAAAGGAGAATAAGATGAAACAGGATTTACCTGGTATGTTGTCACAATAAGCTCCATAGTTTTGGGTTCAAACTTTCCATTAATGTTACAGGTGCCCAATGAATATATCCATGTAAGTTTTCTATGTTTGGTTTTTGTTTGGTAGAACTCCTTGAAAACTTCAACACACTTCACCTGAAAGAAACATGCTCAAAGTTGCACTTTTTGGGTAACTATAACTTCCAACCATTTTTAAGAACAAAATGTATGAAAGGTTGATGTACCATCTCTGCCGGAAGGTTGAGATCAAATGATTTATAACTTGGCCAGAATCCAGTAGTGAGGACAGTGACAGTCAAGTCGATCCCAGGGTTGGCATTTGGGCTAGTGCTAAGATACTCCTCAAAGTTTGCCTGATTTTCCCTTGCCAATGTCAAATCTGTGACCTGGAAATTCAAAATACAATTTCATTAGAAACATCCGAATTACATTTACAAATAGAAATGTTTCTATTGAAGGGAGGATGATCTTCAATTACTGACCATTCCCTCCATTTTTGATGTGAACTGTCCACCACATTGCTGTTTTAGCTTTGTAAGGATACTCCTCTCATGGTCATCATTAGCGCTCTTGTCAAAAAGAAGCCGACGTGCAAGCTTTTTCCTGTAAATGGCAGTAAAGTGAATAATTGAATACATAGCAGTAAGTTAAAATGAGAAGAAGTTCCAAACACACTGAGTAAAGGCTGATCAACAAGAGAAATAAGGTCTTTTACCTATAAAATTCGGCAAAAAGGTCTTTGTCACTGATATAAGCAAGCAGCTTTACAACCTACACACCACATAAAGGAAAATCCATGACAAATTAAACATGAATGCAAAGAATGGCCGAATGGAAATTACCAGAAGACTATCAACAATGACAATAGTAGGCTACCTTCTCTAAAGTTTCTTCAATTGCTTCATCACTCAATTTCTCACTTCCTCCCTTTTTAAGGATATTGTCACAGAAAGTAGCCAGTAGTTCTGCACTAGAGCTCCCAGCAACACCCTTGTTGCAGAAGACCTCAAAGGCCTCTTTGAGTGCCTAGAGTGACGAAAATAAGTTAGTGCAGAAATGATGAGATATAATGAAAACACCAAAGTATCATCAAATGCAAACCTTATGGAAAAGAGAGTGATTCATAAAGCAATCATTCACGTATGCCAGGTATTTGTCATGTAGCTCAATTACTTTTCTAACAAAAACCTGAAAACATGCAAAAAAGTTAATATCTATTTTATCAACTATCCCACCATAATTAAAATTCTGATTTGTTTATGGTTACCTGTTCTTGCAAACCAACTACATCTTTTTTTTCTGCCTGTGCAAAATAAAATTATTAGTACTGCAATCACTAAAAAGGAATGATGAGTTCAGTGCATGCCTATAGCTCGAATGGCAGAATAATGAATCTCGGCCATCACGGCACATATACACTAAAGTTTATACCCACTTAAAATATGAAAACAATGATTTCTTATGCAACTAAACTATACATAATTATTGGCACATCTGCATCATAAAATATTAGATAAGAGTGGAAAAGAAGCAAGTCAATGAGCATTACAAACATATGGTTGGTCACTTGTTAATGGATCTACACATTGATGAAAAAATATTTGTGCTGCTTCATCAGACACAAATCTCCTTATCTCCAAAGCAATCTAGTAAAGAGCAGTCCATACTCAAAAGGACCATAACCTATTAAAGCACTCTCCATTTCAGCATAACATGGATGGTTTATTGAACTAATACGCTTCAAGAATTTATTATAATTCTCCCTAACGTTGAAACTTCTTCCCACTCCCTGTTTGGCCAAAGTATCGGCCAAACAATTTGCATCCCTCATAACCCAATTCAACTGAACATCCATTCCTCTGTCAAGTATCTAAACTTCCTTTTCTCATTGATGCAACCCCTCCATCCCCACTTCTCCTTTTGGCGACAGCCTATAACCAGCTTAGAATCCCCTTCAATTATCAGCTTGGAATGCAGGTATTGTTATCACTATAGTACTTGGGTTTATGACACCTTGCAAACATGCTTCTAAATTATCACTTCGAACACAGGTATTGTTATCACTGTAGTACTTGGGTTAATGACACCTTGCAAACATGCTTCTATTAAATATGTGATAAGGAAGCTACACAAAATATATAATATGAAATTATGTCAATTGTGAAACTAAATGTGGCTTAGGTTCAAACTTTAAAAGATTTTTATGGAATAGTGCTTGATCAATAGAAGTGGCTTAAATATTTGATGAGTTTGACTAAGCATTCTCTTGGTGTCTTTGTCATGACTATGACATATTGCATGATGCATTCTATTCTTGCCTCTTAGAGCTGAAACAAAGTGCTAAAGTGTATGTATATATATATATATATATGACTGCCCAACACTCTGCTCCAGACAACATAGTTGGCCTTACAATTGTTTTATAGATTTCCTTTTAGTCTAAGTGGTATACTGATATTCGCCTATCACACAAAAGTCCAGGTGCACTCCTGCATTTTGCCCATCCCACTCTAAGTGGTCTCCGATTCTAAGTGTATCATGATTTACACTCCAATAAATACGAAATATGCATGTCATATACTCTATTTTAGTTCTAATTATTTTAAAACCTCTTTGTTTCTAAGGCATTTGTACATAATCTTAACTTTGCATCTGATCCTTCGTTAGTTTCATTAATTAAAACAATGTCATCCACAGACAACATGCACCATGGAGCTTCCTCCTAAATATGTTTAAGTCAATTTATCTATGATCACTGCAAATAGATAAGGGCCAAGTGCTAAACCCTTGGTGAAAACCCATTGTAACTGCAAAATTTGAAGTATCTTCCACTAGTGTTCTAACATTGGTCGTTGTCCCATCTTATATATCCTTAATTAGGTCTACATACCTATTTTGAACCCGTTCTTTTCCAAGACCCGCCATATTCTCTCTCTAGAAACTCTATCATATGTCTTTTCTAGATCAATGAACACCATATGAAGATCTTTCTTCTTCTCTCCAAACCTTTCTAGCAACCATCTCGAAAAAAATATAGCTTCCATGGTTGATCTCAGTGGGCATAAAGCCAAATTGGTTCTCTAATACATTTATTTTTAAGTCGTAATCTTTGTTCAACTATTCTCTCCCAAAGTTTCATAGTGTAGTTCATGAGCTTAATCCCCCAATAGTTATTACAACTTTGTATATCACCTCTCTTCTTAAATATAGGCACCATATTGTTGTTTCTCCAATCATCAGGCTTATTTTCTTTCACTATCATATTAAATAGCTTAGTTAGCCATAAGAAGCCTACCTTTCCCATACCATTCCACTATTTGAATCCCCTCGAGTCCTAACGTCTTTCCCTTCTTCATATTATTTAGTGCCTCTTTTACCTCAATAGGCCTAACTCTACAAAGGTACATGTTATTTTTAATAGCATTAGTATTGCCAGATTCTGCTCCATTAGAATTAATCAAAAAAAATTTCCATCTCTATTTTGATTTCTTCAACTTTTACCAAGACTATTTGATCTTCATCTTTAATGCACCCTAACATGATATAAATCTCTACCTTTTCCTTTCTCTTAGCTTTACTAGTTTATACATTACTTTTTCTCCATCTTCAGTGCCTTATTTATGGTAAAGCTCATCATAAGCCCTACATTTAACTTCATTCACTTTCTTTTTAACTTCCATATGGTTTTATATTTTTCCCAAGTTTTTGCATTTCTAGCTCATTGATCTTGCTATAACTTTTAAATTTCCTTTCAAAATAACAAATTTCACACTATATATGTCTCCACAAAAACCATAGGGATGAACTCAATAACAATCATAGAATGTCAAAGATGACATTTCACCATCTGCATGGCTGGATGAAAGGATGCCAACAAAGGTGCAAACACAGAGAGTTAGATATATGCAAATCAAAGAGTTAGCTAGGTAAAGATAACATGTATAATGCAAATCAATGGGCTGGCTAGGTAGAGGAGAGTTAGATGTATGAGTTAGGTGATCAATGCATATGGAGAAGACTGAAAGAAGGCATTATGGTTGAAAAAGTTGAAGATCTAAACAAATTTTACTTAACCTCCCATACTTTTTAGGACAGAAATAAAGCAATCCAAAAAGAACCTACCACCATAATCTTTCTATCTTTTTTCCTCCACTTAGTTTCTCAGGCCAATCAAAAAAAGTAAAATACTTTTTCTTCCACATTTCAAATATCTAAACATTTTAATTACACAGCATAAAGTTCATTTCAAATATCCTGAGGGAGTAGTTTTTGACTGCCTTGCCACAGTACACTGACTTTGAAGCAAGTCTAACTACCAATTCTCTCAATTTAACCAAACATAGACAACTCAGGGTTGCTTGGTCAAAGGAATATATGGTGACTCAACATAAAAAAAAATGTGTTTCTTTTCCCATCTATCCTTTCAAGATGATAAGTTGACATTGAAAAAAAGTAATGAAATTATATCTATTCACAATAAAGGGGGGAAATCCCACCATGAACATCAATGCATGGCAACCAGACTCCTTTACAAACAATATGTCAGTTATTAACAAAAAGGGGGTCAGTATCAAAAAAATGTAAGGAGAGAGTATCACACCCCTAAAATCCTGGTAAATTGACCACTAAGATATAACCATCCAATCGCATTCCTCGGAAATTCTTCTCAAAACTCTTGGATCTTTTAAGTTCCAATAGTAAATTCTTAAAATAAAATATAAGTGGAACATATATACAAATACGTGGTATATAATAAACACAGCCATAGTATGATATTATATGCCTTGTGATTTTTGTTTCCTAGACAGGTTCCTAGTCACTATAAGTCAAGGCATTTAGGCGAGATGACCAAGCAAGGGTGCCTTGAGAACCATGCAAGTAATACCATGTCTCCCTTGTAGAGAATCAGCTACCAACTTCCTCCCATTAAAATGTGCATTTCTCACAAAGATATGGTTGCATTTTATTAGAACTTTATGAGTAGCATCAACTGATGCTGGAAATATGCCTTTACTGGTCTTTGGCTAAAGAGGTCATTTCTTTTGGAAATGTGTTCCATTGGTGATATATTGAAATATATATCAACCAAGGATTAAAGTATCGGTATCAGGTATCGTATCGGATCACTCGGATACGGATACGGATACGCTTTGGAAACGCATGGATACAGACAAAAAAATATGGATACACCGAAAAATGCATATAAATTCCATAAACATATTAATAACATTATTTTTAAGATCAAAATAGCCATAATTAATGTATAGATACATAGAAAATGTATCTTCTAAAGATATATGTGAAGAAATATACTACAACTAATATAGTGGGATGCATAGAAATCATAAAATTTTATTGATATTGTATCAACCAAGAATCCTATAACATATTATATATTTTTTAAAAATTAATACATGCACAAAGCTATTATTATGTTATTTACTATTGAATTTCAAGGCACAAAACATATGCAACTATTATATGTGAATTATTATATCGATTATTTTCTATTTTACTATTTTTAATTTTTAATATTAACCAAAAGTCAACTAATAATTAATTCTCAAATGTTTAGCTAACAATATTTTTATTTTTGTAAACAACAAAAACGTTATTATAAAATGAAATTAAAATATAAATTAAAATTTTAAAAAATATATAATATTAACTTAAAATATATCAAATATATTAAATTTTCTAGGATACACATCATATGCTAATTGTGAGCCTTTGGGACCCCACTTTCTGTTCTTTGGTTTCTTGCAGAATTGGTAATTTCTCAATCACTCTGAGRCTGAAACTACAAGATGGAAAACTTATTCAAGTCACAAACGTTTATGGTCCTATTGGTTCTAATTTTCGGATGGCTTTTTGGGCGGAATTATCAGATTTGAGAGACCCTCAGAACTGTCCTTGGGTAATTGGGGGTGATTTTAATGCAACTATTTC